TGCAAAATGACACCATCTGTAGCCAAAAAGAAAGTGAAGCTTCAATGAATGACAAACAAAACTCTTCAAGTAGTTAACAACAAAAGAGAAGGAAAAGGTGACAGAAATAGAGTCAGAACCCTGAACGTCACTGTACAATTACTTGTTCACAGGGACAAGAACTACTATAACAATCAAAGCAGAAAAAGATTATAGGAGACAACAAAAAACAAGAGGAACAAAACACCTCTTCCACAAGATTTAAGAGATCAAAGAGAAATTTAAATAAAAAGATGATGGAACTATATAAAAGAGATGAAAGCGTGACAGATTCATTAGAACAGTGTTTCTCAAACTTTGTTCCTCCAGATGTTTTGGACTTCACTCCCACAATTTCTAACTGGGATTTCTGGGAGATGAAGTCCAAAACACCTGGAAGAGCAGAGTTTGGGAAACACTGCACTGAAGGAAGAATAATATGAATACAAACTGGAATTGTTCAATATGCAATATGTTCAAATTCTAAAACAAAGACTTTAACTATAGAGGGGGGTGAGAAATGCCAGCTATCCAAGCTAGGTTCAGGAAAGGGAGAGGCATGAGGGATCATATCACAAACATACATAGGATAATGGAGTCCACCAAAGAATTTCAGAAAAATCTGCCTGTGCTTTATAGATCATAGGAAAGTGTAACATGACTCATTAGAAAACACAGTCATACTTGGTAAGGCAGAAATAATAATAATAATAATAATAATAATAATAATAATCTTTATTTGTACCCCGCTACCATCTCCCGGAGGACTTGATGTGACTTACAAGAGGCTGAGCCCAAATACAACCGTAAAAACAACAACAATACAGCAAAATAACTCACAGCCCTAGGGCGACTCGCGGCGGTGTACAACATATAAAAGGCAATTTACAATAGCAAGAACAAAAATCCACATCATCAATACACAGCAATATAATTACACTAAATAATCCGCTCCGTCTCGTAGTAGAATCGTAACCCAATTCGTAATCCATATTCCGTTCCTGTTGTCTTTACCAATTACTGTAGCTCTCAGTTAAATGCCTTCTCAAAAAGCCATGTCTTCAGGCCTTTTCGGAAGGACATAAGGGAGGGCGCCTGTCTGATGTCAACAGGGAGGGCGTTCCACAGCCGGGGGGCCACCACCGAGAAGGCCCTCTCTCTCGTCCCCGCCAGACGTGCCTGTGAAGCAGGCGGGATCGAGAGAAGGGCCTCCCCAGACGATCTCAAGGCCCTCGTGGGCTCATAGGCCGAGATGCGGTCCGAAAGGTATTTTGGGCCGGAACCGTTTAGGGCTTTGTAGGATAACACCAGCACCTTAAATTGGGCCGGGTAGCAAATACATCATTAACAAAAACACAACAAACAACGATAAAATGCAACAATAAATAAGCAAGCAATAGAACAATAACAAAAGCACGACACTGTTAAAACCTGTGACAGGGCCAAATGCAATGGTTAAATTCTAAAAATGCTGGGCATGTCCAGGTGAGGTAGAATGGATATTTTGGGAATAGAAGAGTGTGCAGACAATTCTAACTCTCTCATAAAGTGCATTAGGGACAATTGCTTGGGATTCCTTAATCTGGGAAGGCACACTGGAACATCCATGTTTTCAAGCTCCTTCTGAAGACTGCCAGTGTTGGGGAGTGCCTGATGTCCTTGGGGAGGGAGTTCCAGAGTCGTGGGGCCACCACCGAGAAGGCCCTGTCCCTCGTTCCCACCAATCGCGATGCAGGTGGGATCGTGAGCAGGGCCTCTCCAGATGAACGAAGAGATCGTGTGGGTTTGTATACGGATGCGGTCACGCAGGTAGGTGGGTCCCAAACCGTTTAGGGCTTTGTAGGTAAGCACCTGCACCTTGAATTGGGACCGGAAAATGAACGGCAGCCAATGGAGCTCCTTGAACAAGAGGGTTGACCTCTCTCTGTAAGGAGCACCAGTTAACAGCCTGGCCGCCGACCAACTAAAATTTCTGGGCCGTCTTCAAGGGCAGCCCCACGTAGAGTGCGAAAGTAGTAAGAAAAGAGGAAGACTGTATTCCAGGTGGATACTCAGTCAAGGAAGCCAGGGCCCTGAATATGCAGGACCTGAGCAAAGCTGTTAGTGATAGAGTGAGTTGGAGGTTTCTCATTCAACAAAAATGGTTTAATTCCCAAAGTCATATTATTGAAAGGTGATCCTGCATTTAGTTCCCAGTAATTTATATAGAGCAGACAGCTGCAGTGATATCATTCGTTTTAAAGCCAAATTAGAAAGCTAGGCATAAGCCTAACTGAAACAGCTGTGCTCTTCCACTTTTCAAAATTATTCAGTATGGTCTGTACAGAAAAATGAACCATCGAACGGTGGCCAAAATTAATATTTTGAAGAAGTAGAAGCTCAGCCACAACATAAAGAATATAGTGTACATATATTGCATTGCAACTATAACTTTTCATGTTTTTAAGTACCCAACTCTTGTGGAAACACTGAAAGCCTGAATCTTGGCAATATTTAACAAACAGAAAAGAAATTGTAGTTGATGACGATCATCAAGGAAATTGTTGGTAACACAGAGCACCACATAAATGACCTCTCCTTGACTGTTGGAAAATCGGCGTTGTATTGTTTGTTCTGATGAAGATATATATGCTTTGCAAATGTGAGAGGGAACACAAAATTCATGAAGAGACAGAACTAAACCCACTGTGATCCAATTATGCTGTGAACTGCAGCATTTCCGGAGTACAGTTTTCAACTCCCAAGACCTCAGGGGAGGAAATTGGATGTGCATGAACAAAACTATTAAATATGTGTAAGTGTTTTGCAGATTGTATTCTGGACTAGGAAAATACATTGTAGCAATTTGCTGTAAACTATGTACAATGTCCAGCTAGTCATTATAGGAGAAATTCCATTTATAGTTTTATTCTACCCTACAATTATGCTTGCTGTGTACAGTTGCTTATGTTGGGCAGAATCAAAGCCGATGGAAAAGGACAAGAATACAAGCCGCTACAAATGTAGGAGCATGGTAACATAATATATTGAATACTGCAACAAAACAGATGTTGCAGGGTCTTACAGTAACAATACAAGGCCACATGTATGTACTTCCAATTTTTCCCTGCCAAATTATTCTATAAGCAATAAAGAGAACACAATGAACAAACAGATTAATTTAAGGTATCACATTTCAGAAGTTACTCTAGAATACGCCCACTCTCTTATCCTCAGGGGAGGCTAATGGTAAACCCGCCCAGAACAAGATTTGCCAAGGAAATCCATGGTAATAACTTAAAGGCACGGAACAACAGCATTTTGTGAGAAGAGTTTCAGTTCTACACTGACTACATAATATGGGATGAGAGCAGCAAAGGTGGAAGCAAAGCAAATGTGTAGCTGGGCACCACAATTCAAGAGAGATATTGACAAGCTGGAATGTGTCCAGAGGAGGGCGACAAAAATGATCAAGGGTCTGGAGAACAAGCCCTATGAGGAGTGGCTTAAGGAGCTAGGCATGTTTAGCCTGAAGAAGAAAAAGCTGAGAGGAGATATGATAGCCATGTATAAATATGTGAGAGGAAGCCACAGGAAGGAGGGAGCAAGCTTGTTTTCTGCTTTCTTGGAGACTAGGACGCGGAACAATGGCTTCAAACTACAAGAGAAGAGATTCCATCGGAACATGAGGAAGAACTTCCTGACTCCACCACACTCTGCCCCGGAGTGTGGTGGAGGCTCCTTCTTTGGAAGCTTTTAAACAGAGGCTGGATGGCCATCTGTCAGGGGTGATTTGAATGCAACATTCCTGCTTCTTGGCAGGGGGTTGGACTGGGTGGCCCATGAGGTCTCTTCCAACTCTTTGATTCTATGATTCTAAAGCAAGGGAATTGTAGTGAAACCTCAGCAGTGCTTGACTTTGACCCGGTTTCAGCACCCACTGCTTCACTGGCATGGAGGATTCCAGTTTTTCCCCCAATTCCCCCTGACCTGATCAATGGCTGAGGCACTCATCCCATCATCTATTGCTCTATGATGCACTTTACATATATGCTTGCTGATGCAAATCATGGGTTCTATAGAATCACAGAACTACAGAGTTGGAAGAAACCATATGGGCTATCCAGTCCAAAGCCTTGCCATGCAGGAAAAGCACAATCAAAGCACCCCTGATTGATGCTCATCCTGTTTTTTCTCAGTTTAAGGCCCCTGTCTACGTCTGCATTGCATGCCAGTTGAACATCACATTTTTGAAATGCCGTCAGTCCAAATGAAGTGGTCCATGCAGATGAGCCTTAAGGCTCCCAGAAATGTCCCTTGCCCAAAGCAACAGAACATCACAGAAATCTACCAATGTTTAACTTCCAAAGACTGCATTCCTAAAACAGATTTCCTTAGGAGCTAAATGGTGATTAAGGGACAGACAAGAGGACTGAACTGCAGGGACATTTCACTCCTACCATCATACAGGGTGTCTGTAAAGTCTCTTTATCATTGGTGCATTTGGTACCAATTTATATTAGTGTATTATTGTCTATAGACACATGGTAAAGAGACTTTATGGACACTCTGCATATCGTATTTCTGAGTAGAAATGAACAGAGTATTTATTTAGAACTTTTTTATGCCGGTCTTCTCACCTCCAACGAGGGACTCAGGCCGGTTACAACAGAGGAATTCATACATAATAGTTTAAAACATCACATCCAATGATACACTAATATAAAACACATTAAAATACAATCATATAATTATATAAGGCCAAGTCATCAACTAACTGACTTTGGAAACAGAGACACTTAATACAAAGCTCACTCACTGTGTGATCTGTCTGTCTGGCTTGTGCCTTATTTATTGCAATCCCAGAGCAAAGCAAAGGCATTCAGTATTCTCTGAAAAAAAATGTTCAACCGCTTCTCCCTCCCTGTTGCAAAAACATCCGACCCCCATCTGGGCTGCCTTTTCTTGGGAAACACACTCCTAGACATGTACGATTGTCTTACCTGCGTGGATCATGGACTTCCACGGAAAACTTCTTCTCCCTGAAGTACAGGTTCTCCAGCTGCCTCCATTGGAAGATCTGAAGAGGGAAGAAGAAAAAGAAAAAAACCCCCAAGGGCTTGAGAAAGAGGCAGTGTTTAGGGAGGGTGGTTTTCTTTTCCTTTCTGCTTTTCTCCAACTCTCAGGAAAAGCTCCACAGTTGCTTGCCCAGCTCCTTTCTGCCCACACTGAGGAGCCAAAGAGGTCCCGACCACGAAGTCCCTTCCCTTTGTTCCGTCTTTGCCTTTGCAGCTCCTTTCCTTTCCCTCCCCCTTTGAATCTGAGAGCAGGAAAGGAAGCGGAGGCTGGGCTGCCAGAAAGGCTCCACTGTGTGCCTCTGTTCCTCCTACAGTCATCAGAGTGCCTTTCCCACCCACTTTTGAGGTGCATCTGCACTGCAGAATGACACCACTTGGACTCAAGGCTATAGAAACATGGGATTTGTAGCTTTACAAGGACTTTCACATTCTCTGCCAAAGAGTTCCAGCATCTCGCTCAACTACAACTCCCATGGACTGCATAGCCTTGAGCCCTCGAAGTTCCATTGGTGTCAAATTGCAAACTCAGCAGAGTCAGATCTGGTTCGAACTTGGCTAGGGCACCAAGAAGGAATGCCAGGGCTTCTTAAACTTTTCTTACTTGCAATGCCTTTCCACTCAAGACAGTTTCACATGACTCCAGGGATGTGAAATAGGTATAAAAATCAAACACTGAATGATAAACAAATCAGCAATGGCAAGGCATGCTAAACAGGCTAAATATCATATGAAAGCTGACTGGTACAACCTGTGGATCACAACCAGACACAGTGAAGACATCTGCCCTTGCGCTTTGCTACTCTGCTGCTGAATATGCATGCCCAGTGTGGCACACATCTCACCACGCTAAAACAGTAGATGTGGCCCTTAATGAGACATGCCACATTATCACGGGGTGTCTGCGCCCTATACCACTGGAGAAATTACACTGTTTAGCCCAGGGGTCCTCAAATTTTTTAAACAGAGGGCCAGGTCACAATCCCTCAAACTGTTGGAGGGCTGGATTATAATTTGAAAAAAACATGAATGAATTCCTATGCACACTACGCTTATTTGTAGCGCAAACCCCCCCCCCCACTTTAAAACAATACAATAATTAAAATGAAGTACAATTTTAACAAATATAAACTTATTAGTTTTTCAATGGGAAGTGTGGGCCTGCTTTTGGCTGATGAGATATGATTGTTGTTGTTGTTGTTGTTGTGTGCTTTCAAGTCATTTCACACTTAGGTTGACTCTGAGCAAGGGCCGGGTAAATGACCTTGGAGGGCCGCATCTGGGCCCCGGGCCTTAGTTTGAAGACCCCTGGTTTAGCCAGTATCACACCACCTGACATCCGCCGGGAAGTAGCAGCCAATAGTGAAAGGACCAAGGCAGTGACATCTCTAGCCCACCCCGTTTGGGTATCAGCCAGCACACCAATGACTTAAATCAAGAAACAGTTTTCTAAGATCTACAGAGACACTCACTGGAACACCTCAGCAAGCCAGAGTCCAAAAGTGGCAGGCTCAAACCAAGAACCTCAATCAATGGCTGATACCAAATGAGAGACTCCTCGCTGGGTACACAGAAAACTGGGCGACTTGGAAGGTGCTGAACAGACTGCGCTCTGGCACCACGAGATGCAGAGCCAACCTTAGGAAATGGGGCTACAAAGTGGAATCCACGACATATGAGTGTGGAGAGCAAACTACAGACCACCTGCTGCAATGCAACTTGTGCCCTGCCACATGCACAATGGAGGACCTTCTTGCAGCAACACCAGAGGCACTCCAAGTGGCCAGCTACTGGTCAAAGGACATTTAATTGACTACCAAGCTTGCAAACTTTGTATTTTGTTAGTTTGTTAGTTTGCTTGTTTGTTAAAAATGCAGTACAACTGTTTTGGTTTGCTCCTGACACGATAAATAAATATGCTGATTTTCCTTTTTATGAAGTACTGCTGAAGCATCTCCTGCAGAATCTCCTGCACAGTAGAGTTGTGTAAATGTCAAAAACAGCCAGTAGGTGATGTTCAGAGTTTGGATTTGGGTGGGGGGGGGGGGTGGGCTAAGATGACCCCATCTGGGGTCAGTATCCACAGTTTAAGAAGCAGTGCTCTATCCAACTGCGTCTTTTACTGTGGTTCCTCAACCCCTTAGCTCAATGTTGGGGTCCCCAAAAAATTGGCAAAAGTAAACGCTTTCTGATCACCATCTAGTGGCTGTTTTAGACATTTACATGCATCTGTTGTGCATTGTTTATGGCAGATTCTGCAGAAAATGCTTCAATTAGACTTCATAAAAAGGGAAATCAGGGAAATGCAAGCTATGCAAATGCTGATTTGTTATCAATAAATATTCGGTTCAGTTTATTCAATGCTTAGACCATAGGTCTTTCACATACAAGGCAAATAGATAAATACATGAACACCAGATTATTAAATACAATATAAAATACACAATAAAATCCTATAAATCATTAAAATGCTACATATATCGATGGCAAGATACACCTTTAAAATACTACATACTGTATGGACTCGCACCTGCGTAATTAAAAAACAGGTAAAACCAAATAGATACAGCACTATTAAAACTACATAAACAGCCACTATTAGTTATTATATATACCTATCTACTTTGGATCACATAATGTTTGCGGGGTGAAAAGGGTCACAAGTGAAAAGTTGAAGAAGTCCTGCTCTTTGTAATATTTTCAAAGAAACCATCATCTCTGAGTATTCCTTTCTGAAGAAATTTCCATGAAATCTGTGGAGCCATCATAGGTGACTCAAAGGCAAATGACACTATCTGGAAAACTGCCTGATTCTGACTCTGATCTAAGTCTTCTGTCTTCACCTTTGTATTACCACTTTCTTTCTTCTCTTTTCCTTAATTGACTTTTATGCTTGTTATTATCAATTATCTTCAGCCTCTGCCACAGTATAAACTGAAGTGTGTATGTGTATGTGTGTGTGTGTGTGGGGGGGGGGCACACTTCATACTTACAGGATCCAGCTTTTATTTTGATCTTACCCTCCACACCCCAACCATTACCAAGTCTAAATACACATCCATACTTTATAATTAAAGCAATTTGGCACCACTTTAATGTTTATGGCTCAAGGCTATGGAAACTTGGGATTTGTAGTTTTATAAATATTTTAGATTTTTCTGCAATAGCGTTCTGGTGCCTCATCAAACTATAACTTCCAGGATTCCATAGCATCATAGAATCATAGAATCATAGAATCAAAGAGTTGGAAGAGACCTCATGGGCCATCCAGTCCAACCCCCTGCCAAGAAGCAGGAATATTGCATTCAAATCACCCCTGACAAATGGCCATCCAGCCTCTGCTTAAAAGCTTCCAAAGAAGGAGCCTCCACCACACTCCGGGGCAGAGAGTTCCGGAGTGTGGTAGAGGCTCCTTCAAGCCAGGCAGCCAAAATGACTCAAAGTGCATCAAATCAACTCAGTAGAGCTGCAGCCTCTGACTGTAAGAAATCAGGAAGAAATCCAAATGATTCAGAATGCTGGACTGCAGAGTCTTGGACTCTCTTCAGACACTGATCCACATGAAACAGGAGTATGCTCTGCATTTCCAGCCTACATCTGTAGTGATTTATAATTTCAACTGCCAATACTTCAGAATTATAAATAGAACTGTAGGAAGGTATTACTGCATTTCTGTCTTGCTTGTAGGACATTTGTTTGACACTGTGGGGGAAATGTAGGATGGATTGCATTAGACCTTTGTTCTGATTCACCAGGACTCTTCCTGCATTGTACGAGGGTTGAATGAAAAGTAATGCCTCCACCTTTGTAACTCCACAACAGATGGCAGTACTGGTATGTGGCAGGTACTGGCTTGTTCAGTAGACTCTCCTCTACAGTTCCATTTTGGCAGGAAGCCTTAGCACTGAACGGTTGTGTTGTTAAAGTACGAAGAATGGAACCCTGTGCAGGCAGTCAGTCAATGCGACTTAAGCAAGGTGCAGTCATTGAATTCTTAACAGCAGAAGGTGTTACCCCAAAGGAGAGTCATCAAAGAATGCAAGCTGTTTATGGTGATTGTGTTGATGTGAGTACTGTGCGTCGTTGGGCGAGTAAGTTTAAAGATGTTGAGGTGGGAACATCTGACTTGCGTGACAAACAAAGAGTTGGACGTCTTGTGACAGCAACCCAAGTTTCACAAGCGAAAGGTTGACAGATTGATTCAGGATGATCGTTGTATCACTCAGAGAGAAATTTCAAGCATAATCCGCATTTCACTAATCTTCATTGTAGTGGGTCACATTATTGCTTTACTTGGCTATCAGAAGATCTGTGCATGATGGGTACCCAGGATGTTGATGCCTGAAATGAAAGCGCACAGACCTGAAACGTCAGAGACTGGATCTCACTTCCATCTGTTCCTGATAATGAAAAATCTGCGGGGACATCATTATGCTTCTGATGAAGACATTGAGAGAACTGTGAAACGCTGGTTGCAGAAACAGAGTGTCGACTTCTTCCGTGACAGCTTCAGAAAACTTGTTCATCATTGGCAGAAATATATCCAATTGTCTGGTGATTACGTGGAAAAGTGAATAGTGGTAATGTATTGTCGAAGGCTTTCATGACCAGAATCACTGGGTTGTTGTGGGTTTTTTCGGGCTATATGGCCATGTTCTAGAGGCATTCTCTCCTGATGCAGGTGAAACATCAGGAGAGAATGCCTCTAGAACATGGCCATATAATAAAAAAAAACAACCTACAACAACCCAGTGAATAGTCGTAGTTAAAGAGCACATTCTAAGGATTATTCCTGTGTTTGATTTGTTAAAATATTCCCATCCAAAAAGTAACGAAGGTGGAGGCATTACTTTTCATTCAACCCTCGCAAATGAAACAGGTTGTTTATTTATGAAGTTTCTATCTGCCTTTCTATTAACAAGTGAGTTGAAATACTCTTGGAAGCTAAGCAGACTCAGTCTTGATTAATACTTGGATGGGAAACAGCCAATGAATCCTAGGTGTT